ATCAAACGTCCGAGTGGTTCAAAGTTATTTCAAATGCACCTGATCCTGACGATGTTCAGAAGTTATACACTGAGTTTGTTTTGTCTTACAACAAAGTTTATAACATTTTCCTATTTTATGACGACTCGGGCGTTACAAATTTGGGAGAGAGAAAGATGTGAGAGCTAAGCTGCAGCAGGGGGGGGGGGGTTATAGTGCCCCGGGAATTATTTACGTCCGAAAAGACTAACCCACTTTATCTTAGCCGAGATCCTATTTGCTGCTGCTTGACCAACATCGACATATCCTCACCGGGAGATTTCTTGGAGTTAGTGCGCGTATAGCAAAATCTTCCATTTATATTCAACGTCTCAACTTCTACAGCAAAAACTACCAAGTTAGTCCCTACTGTGATATTAATCGCCAGCTAATGGCATCTTCTTAGCATCAAAATAGATTTCGTCATGCTGTTATCCACTACCGTGTCAGCCGCACATGTAGTCCCTTTATACTTTGATTTCCTAGAATGTCGTAAGGCCCCTCAAAGTGATTTGAGACTTTTTTCACTACTGCATAGCATTACAGTAAGCGGAGGTACGGTTTGAAAGGTGAAAAAGGAAAGAAAATTGGCCCTCTTGCTGTGTGTGGCGATGGGGTAGGAGGAGTTGTTTGGCTCAGTTGCTCTGTTTTCTGATATTTCACTTCAATTATTTTCAAATTTTAGTTCCTTTTTGCTGGATAGTGCAAGGTTGTTGAGCTTCTGTAACTTTAACTTCTGTTCTTTCTTTCGCAATTGCATCATATGGAACAGGATTTACAGGTATATTTTGAAAAGGAGATCTGATCATTTGAATATCAAATAAACCTTTCAGTGAAAGCAATATCATTTCCTAGCTTTTCTTCAGAGGCACACGTTTAGTTTCTTCTACTCGTAGTGTCATGCTCTACCATTTCGGCATAGTCTAAAAAGCAGCACAAACATTTTGTTTTGTCTGTTTTTCTCTCCATAGCAACAAATCTCTGATTCCTATCGTGAATACCCACGTTTTGCTGTTTTGTTTCACGCTTTCGTTTGTCATTTCAAGATTATTACAGATAATTGAAGGAAGGTCAGTCAGCATAAAGCCTACTTATCATTTTCTTTTCTGACCGTATATATTCGCTAGAAGAGGACGAGCAGCTGTACTGTCGGCGCGGAGTTTAGCAGGAATCTTGAACTAAAATCTCAGCGAAACGTTTTTTACCCTCCCACCCTCATTTCCTACGAGCTCTCAGTTCACGATGTCTCATGGGATTAAATTCTTAGTTGCGAAAGAAGAAAATCTTTTTGAAAAGCTACAGTATAGCCCCAATCGCTGGAACTAAACGTACAGGTATACCAGCATTTATTCAAGTCAGATCTCGGCATCACCAGTAGTAAGAGCAGAACAGTTAGCGACATAACAATATCGCAAGAGATTTGCGCAAATAGCATGCACCCCAAATTAAAGGGATTTTGTTTGAGATCCCGTTTATCGGGTCAGTGAGTAGTAGAACATCCTTGGAATCTTTGAAAAAGTTTTTAGTTTGCGGCTGCCATCGAATGCTTGACATTTTATAATACTAATGGTTTGAAAGATTTACACTTACATAGCTCTGTGTGGTGTTAGTCATGGTAAGGTAGGAAAAAGAACGGAATGGAAAACAAATGTGTGCCAACAAGTGTTAATGACGCACATAACTGTAATGTAATGTTGCCCAATGACTGCATTTACTGATCTGCTCACTATAGTACAGGGCTTGGCAGAGGTAACTTGCAAGCAAGCTGGATATCGTTTTTGGGACAAAAAGTAAAGGGGATATCGTTTTTGTGGCCGAGAAACACGACCTTTTTGTCGACGTTTTGTTTTTGAGGGTTTTTACGTTTATGGTTTGGGGAAGGGACTTCGTAAAATTTTGGGATAGTCAAGGGGGACTTCGTTTCTTGCATTTTCAGAAAGCAATCTCGTGCCGAGACTTGTTATAGTAAATGTTTAGTCAACACCTATTTACTTAATCTTGCAAAAAAAAGCGACTTCCTGTTCTATTCTCTGTTACACGAATAAATGCGAAAAGTCCGACTTAAACTCGCGTGCTCATTGCAAAATTAGGATTGCCGTTACCATCGAAATCAGTGCTGCACATCCTTTTTAGAATAATCCACCTTCTAATATCTGCAGAGCAGAAATCGTGATGAACCACGATGGATATGCGATAAATTATTTAAGAGGCCCTGTGGAAGGAACGATGCTTCCGCTTTTGGAGTACGTTGCTGTCCTTAGCGCTAATTTACTTGACGCGTGACTGCAGAATTTGTCCTTCAAACACAAATGACCTGTAGTAAAGATTAATATCGTATCCCTTTGTCAAAATTTTATTTACTCGAAGTAAGCCTTAGATCCAAGCATAATACGTCATACGACAGGAAACGTTGAGCTTAATGTTACGACGCGGAGTTGTAGATTCTGATTACGAATAAGAGTAGCGGCGTCATCGTTGTGAAGCTTCTTTCTTGGTGTGAGATTAGCTTCTTCGTGTAAGAATGTTGTTTTGGATTTGATTGCGAACGTCTGGAGAAGCTCTACAGCTCCCTTGATTAAAAAAATATGAGCCGATTCAATTTTCTCTTTTCAAAATGGAGCAACAAGTGTGCTGTCACAACTTCATCACAGTTTTTTTCTTTGAAACATTTCAAAGTCCAAATCGTTACATTTATTCTATTTTGGATCGAGATTTAATTCAATCTCTTTGTGGAGTCTCCTGCATTGCTTGTGATTACAGAACAAGTAGAAGCTGTAATCCTATAAAAGGTCTCAAGTAGATAAAGCAAGTTGACAAAGACTCCCCACGTCAACAGAGATGCTAGTGTTACCTTATGGGAGATTCTAACTCTTCGAACATTCGAGAATTCTCGAAAAATCTGCAATTCGTGCCATGCAATTTCGTGCAATATGCTCATCAATGTCACTCGTATTTGAGCATGAATTTGCCTGGACTGAATACCAAGAGAAAATGAGTTGGCTAAAAACATGTAATCGCATTCTAGAGGCCAAGCAAGTGCTGTTGTGGTTCTGATTATTCTCGCGCTATGTATGAGACAATGACTTCCTCTAAAACCTGTGCTCATAGTGTTTTTTGTTCATTATTTATTTCAAAACTTTTCTTCCGCATACCAGAGCTGCTCTGCGTCCACGAGGTTTATACTTCTGAATAGATCTTTGAGCTTTTCAGCGATATTCTCGCTTCAATAACCAGCCATGAAAAGATCGCTACGCTTAACTAATGATGAATCGTTTATCTCGTTCAGTGTCTATGAATGAGTAGTCAATGAGTAGTGTAGTCAACTGTTAGGTCACAACATAAGCATTCACACATTTACACCTTCCTGATCAATTTCAAAGAATACTTAGTTCCAAGAATTCTTTATAAACTTTCTTTATTTCAAGTTCAGTCCACTGGGGTACTTGTGAAGTGTATTTTCCGGATGACAGCTTTGTTTCGCTTGGCAAGGTCTTCAACCAAATATCTCCTCCAAGATAAGAACCTTGTTGCTTCTGGTAGAGAAGCTCCAGCTATAAAAATTCCTTCAAATCTTTCGAAGGCATGCTTTTTTGGAAACTCCTTAGGAACTTTTGCTTTCCGAAGACATTCGCTTTTCTATGTCCTAGCTGCCTGGTATGAAGGACTATTCCACACTTGCTTTCTAAAGTCACAAGAATGCAGTTCGAACTCAGAAATCCGAGTTCAATCTTTCGGTTAGCCAGTGAACTTACATCATGATAGACGCGATTAACCACTCTGTGAGTAGACTCCAGTCTCCGCTTCTGCTGATTATCTTGATCTTTTCAACGTCTGAGAGTTTAGAAGAAGGATGTCCTTCTCCTGCACTAACGAGTGAACTCGTCTAGATGTAAGTGGTGGCTAGTTGTGATTAGTGTAGTAGCATATTTGAGGTGCATAGAGCGCACATTTGGCCAAGACCTTTACTGGTTATTGATGTACTTCTGGCGATGGCCTTCTTTGTCTTAATTCCCGTTTCATTACTTCGCAATGCAATCTATTATAGTGTAAGCCGATGAGAGTATCAGCTAGAAAGAAGCTATCTGTCGTCTGAAGTGTACTTTAATGCATCGCTAAGCAAGCCTGCCTTTGTGTTCATTTAAAGTTATTTCACAAATTGTTTCTTCATCCGTGCAACTTGGCAAACTAGGGAGGGACATCATCTATTGTTGTCCAGACTAACATAATGATTATCTCAGAAAAGATTGTTGTTTCGAGATTGATCATGCAGTTCTTTATAGAGGTAGACATAAGCGTTACAATTTTGACTTCGGTTTTCGTTCGGGCTTATTTCAGGTTTTTCAGCTCCATGTTAAATGCTCTGAATAGTCTTGAGACTTTGTTCATAATGTTCTTATGACAGTACACTAGAAAATAATTGTTAGGATTCGAAATAATTTAGATGTAATTTAGATTTGTATCTGTCGAGAGAGTGATTATTTTTGTTAACTTGTCACACATCCCTTGAATGGTTTTCTTAGATGGTGCTTTTACAAATCTTTTTCTGCGCCTAGATAAAAAATTTTAGTGACTGAGCAAGTGATGGTAAACAGAACATTAGTGTTAATCCATGTAGGTACCTATTAGCGATGCAAACCTTGTCTATGTTCAGCTCTGTTTGTTCTCCTCACTGCTTTTTAATTTCATTATGGCCCTGCTCACCTCGCTCTATCCGGGAAGACTGACTGCACAGTGAAGACTTTATAGGAAGCCAATGCAAGAAAACATCCGTTTCTTTTCTCTAGCTATGGCAGAGTAATAAGACTTGTTAATGTTTCACTCAAGCAACACGTATCTTAATGCTGTGCTTCAGCTTCCAATCTCCTCTCTGAAAAGATCTCAAACAACTTGAATTCACCCTTCTGTGTCTTTCATTTGCTCGGAAAAGATTTGTGGTTGTAATGCAAAGTGAAGTGCTCATCTAATCAATTCATCATTATCAGATGGGCGAGGAACGGTATCGCCTCGTCGTGCTCGGCTCAGCAAAAGTTGGCAAAACGAATTTGATAAGAAGATACCTGTACAATGAATTCTCAGAGAAGTACAAAGAAACCATTGAGGATCTGCATTCTAGGCAGTTTCGCATTCAGGTAATCGTATCATTTTATGTTCAACGCAATTAAGGCGTACTTAGTGGCACTAATTGAAATTTTCATGAGGGGTTATATAAGCCCGGCTTAATGATGTCTCAGAGAATTCGCGATTTTGCTACCAATACAAACATAGGTCACGAAACAGTTTGAGACAGGTTCCAGTCGATGTGCCCGACCAGAGCTTTGTTACTGGATATTCCCACGAATCTTAAGTGCAGAGGATGTTTACTATCTAAGTATAAGTGCTTCGTAGAGATACTATGCTCCGCTGTTGCTTCCTCTTCAAAGAACTTCTAAGAAACAACCGGATGCTATCTTGCTTTCAGAGCAAATCAATAATCAACAGTATCTCAATGGCCTTAAAAACCTGTTTTGTCATCCATCCTAACATTTTTCGATATGAACAGGAAAATATCCAGTGCCATAGCGCTGGAAGAAAATGAGGTTTGGGATGCCTTGGCTCTAGCGATAGGGCTTTGTTTGAAGAACGAACTGTTGTAAATTAAGCTCGAGCGTTTATATGAGTAAGAATCGGTGCCACCTCAGGAGATGGTCGTGAAGGCACGGATTTTTTGTCTATCAATAGAAAAAGCATAGAAAAATACTTTCAATGTGCCAAAAACAGTTTTTAAATTTGCCAGACAATGTTTATAGGTTAGCTCACATCTGATGCTGTCATCTGTCAATTCTTTTATTGACTTTCAGTGAAAATCTAGGGGATATACTGGACGAAGTGGGTAGCTACAAATACTTTCAAGGTATCCTGACCTAATCTGTTTGCAAATTGAACTAATTTCTTTACTGGAAGCGTGCGAGCAAAAACCAGGAGATCCACACACGGGTCCTGTCACAATATCACATACTATGTGCTGCAGCGATACGACGCGAGCGGTCGCGATGCAGCGAAACTCAAAATTTCACATGTTTTGGACGGAAAGAGACTGTAAGAGAAGAGTGTTTGTTATAGCACTTAGATTTCCTGAAAATTATAGGAAGGTTTGGCCTTTAGCTTTACCGTTTCAGGGTGTACCGCTTCCACTCGACATCCTCGACACTAATGTCAACTTCCCGGATATGAGGAGAATATCAATCGCGTCAGCTAGCGCTTTCCTTCTGGTGTTCGCAGTAGATGACGTACCAAGTTTCAAGGAGGTAGGATCACAACTTTCAAAGATTCTTTTCAAGTAGTGTTAAATGTACAAAATATTTATTCATAGGCGAAACGAGGCTCTTTGTGAATTTAAACGCACTTCAAATTGATGATTTTAGTAAAATGCGATAACAGACAAAGTAGTCTACAATAGCGCTCGTTATTTTGTTGGAAGAAAGTCACCACGCTTCGCCGGAATTCGCCGAACTTCGCGTTGCATCCCTGTCATATCTTGCTTCAGAGTGGGCAAATTTTGAATCCAAAAGCACCATTCAACTCAGCTCGACGAGTTGCATCTTTTGATATATGAAGATGCCTGTTTGTGCACAGTTGTCGGTCAACCCAAGGACCTCCTTTGCTTACGGTAAGTCGATCGTTGTGCAACAATAAAGCACCCTATTGTGACCAAGAATTTGGCTGGAAGGATCCGTAAAATTTGACCGACTATCGTGTTCAAACAGGTAGTTGCATGTATCAAAAAGATGCACCTCGAGCTGAGCTGAATGGTGACTTGGATTCAGAATTCGTCCATTCTGAAGCGGGTTATGGCTAGGCACGCGAAAATCGGCAGACTCCGGCGGAGTGCGGAGAACGGCTCTATTGTTCAGTAGGCTCTCAGCTAAATCTTTGTCCGCAGGCTTTGCATGAAAATAGATTTTTTCAAAAAATTTGAAATTTTGTAGCAGCACTACTGCAGAAAAAGAAATATTACTTTTGCATTTCACATAGATTGCCGCTTTTCAGAAAGTTTTAATAACGTGTTAATTTATTTCGCATAAGCATCCTCTTCATAGACTACTCTCAGATGTCTGCACTCAGAGTAGAACTATGCCCTCCATTATCTGTAACTGTACTCAAATTCTAAAACTTCAAAACTTTTTAACTGTTCCCAACAGCCAGCTTTGTTTTCAGATGTCTGACTTGTGGCAAGAAATTTGCGAACGTCGCCCGGATATAAGTAGCGTACCAATTGTCGTGGCTGGAAATAAATGTGATCTTCCTAGCAAAAAGGTACGACATCCAAATTTTTGTCATACTACACATCAATGCGTTGCAGATTTTCGAAGCCACCGCAAGGGCCTTCACCAGCAGACTTAGCGCAGACGTTCGCTATCTGGAAGTATCTGCAAAATGTAATCTAAGGGTTACTGAGATCTTTCGAACTCTGCTCGAACTGAGCGGATTCCCTCGCTGCAAGGTAGGACTTCTTCCAAGATTGATGTCGTTTCTGGGCTGAGAGAGGATTAGTACAACAGCTTCAGGCTTTGAAGTTACTCAACTCCACAAAAATTTGTTGACTTTGGAGCTGTGAGATGATAGTTAATGCATCTGAGCTTTGATTTCTTAGCACGATATTTTTGGAGAAGTACCCCCCACTTACAATCGAATGAAGACACTACAAAGCAATCCTTCATCGTTTTTCACTGAGAAATTACAGCTGCAAAAACTGAACATGGTAGAGTATTTGCTCAATATCTGAGCCTGCATGGTGCGCACAGACCTCATGACATTTACTAGTCGTGATATGTGATGTTAGTTGTGCACTGCGTGAATTAGGGTAGAGGACTATATGTCGCCAAAAGTGGAAGGGTCCCGCGCGGACAAATGCAGCAGATACTCAGCCGTGCATGTATTGGAATGTGTATTTGTTGCAGATGTCCGGCGGGACCTCCCACTTTCGGCGACATACAGTCCCCTACCCCTTGAATTGCAAAGGATAGTGTGCTACGAAATCGTCACAACGCAGTAAAGACGGGTCACCTCTCTCCAGTTGAGATATATATCGCCCACCTAGCGCGAAATAATAAATATATCTAAAATAAAAAAAAATAAAACTTCTATTCACGGTGAATCGACATCTTTGATATAATGTATAGACGATTCGTAGCGCAAGGACCTGGGACGTATCCTCGTCTGTTTGATCGAGCGCTCTCTCGTTTCTCTTACCATCTGTTGTCTCTCCCCATGCACTACCCATCTCGGTCATAGGCACGGGACATACCTCAAGCGATTTCAGTCGCCACGCGATCTGGCAATTTGCCAGATGTTTTCAAATTCAATACTGGTAGACTCCAAATGCACAGCATGTATAACTTTCGTAGGTTGATAAAATGCCCCATCTTCCGTACATTCAGAAACCCCGTAGGATGAGTTATGAACATTTGGAGCATTGCCAAATCGCGTGGCGACTGAAATCGCGTGAGGTATGCCCGAGGCCATACGCATCAGCGCCCGGTCTTCGCGTGTCGCGAATCGTGTATAACATTGAAAGCATCGTCTGAATATATTGTTAAACACTGAAACTTATGTTCTGCGCCCATCTTCAAAGCACCGATGCAAAAATTTTACTGTTTGAGTTTTTTAGAACCAGCAAGATTTTTTTATAGGCTGGAGGTGGGGCCCTGGAAGATCCTACAACCGGACAACCTCCAAACGGTCAGGAAAGGGATTCGCCATTTCGGCGAGTAAACACAGCACGTGCTCGACCGGTAAGCAGAGATAATCGAGGAAGGACTGAGGTTTGAGTTAGACAATAGGCTCGAAAGGTGTTGATATCGAGGAGTAGCAGAACAAAATTCCGTAAAATTCATGTTTTGTTTTCAGCTAGAAAGGAACGGAATGCCACCGCCCATGGACAAACAACAAACGCTTCCCATTCTGGCTATACCGATGAATATAGGAGATCTTAAAAGAAATCGATCACTCCGTGTAAGTCAAGGCCAATTTTTGAACTCTATTCCGCAATTCAGGCTTTTCCTTCTAGATAAAAACACCGAAGGAAAAGGAGAAGGAACAACTCGATAGACGACCATCAGACGAGTGCAAACTTAGCCGTAGCGCCAGTCTTATCAAGTATGAAAGTTTGTCTTATTATGAGCTACTGCACAATGTTTCATATTATCTTTAGGAGGACGAAGCATCTCTCATTAAGAATGCGTCGACATGGTGACAAAGTTGGAGACGACGAGGTAGTCGATGAAAGCGACTGCAAGATACAATAATCTGAAACTAACTTAATGCACAATTTTTCTCATCTGTTGCTTAAGCAGCAAGGCACAATGTAAATATTATAATGCATAAGAAAATCCAGAAAGTTTGGTAAATGCTGCTCTTGTACCGTAACTATTGGCTTTCTATTCTTGGATCTCTTTAACTTTTTTTTCTAATGTCTTCCACTCTGAGTTTCAGGTCATTCAGAGATTCTGCATAATTGAACAATTCTATGAAGAATTTTTCGATCTTTTGTGCAACTCCCACTATTTTGCTTGATCATGCTTACCATATCTATTGCTGCTAGAGCGATATTGATGACGTAAATGCTTAGATTTCATATGTTAGAATTGCATCATGCCAGCACTGCTGATCTCTAGTCCATATCTCGGCTTTCCGCATTGGGTCGATTTTCTTTGTTTCGTTTGTTATTATATGATGATGTCCTTGTATTGATGCTTTCTTTCATGAATATTTTGTATCAGAGTTTATCGTGAACTGAAAGGCTGTGGACCCTATGATTGGAAATGTTCTCTAAAATTAGCCAGTTACAAAGCTAGAAAGAAGAAGTAGCATTTCAGCTCAAAAATGCGGCATGCGAGGTGAATCCAAGTCGTTGAGAGAAATTGCCAGAAATGCAGCTTAGTCCATGAACAAGGCAAGAAATCTTATTTTTCCGTTTGCTTTAATTTTTTCCGCATTTGAGTAGGAAAAAGCAATGCATCAAACTTTATTGGATCTGATTATGGTAAATTGATATGATTACGGGAAAGCAAAACAAACGGTTCACCGGGTCTGGTCGTAAATCTCGGTTTTTTTCTTTCCAAGATCTACATACATGCACAAAACCCATAAATTAAGGGGATAATTTGACATATTAAGTTAAGAGAATATAAATGACACAAAAGTAGTGGATCAAAACGCGTATGTGAGTGTAAGTACCCTCTGAGTCAACTGGATTGGTGGCTGGAAGGCAGGGTTTCATGACCTAGTTAAGGTTAGAGAATGACCAGAGAACACGCGCGCGAAAGAGACGCAGACTGCGTCGAAGGGCGAGCGGCCTGGATTAGGTCACAAAGCCCCGCCTTTCAGCCGCCGGTCCAGTTAAATGAAAGGTTAAATGATTGAGTTTTGGTTTTAAGTAGACTCGTAGGCAAAATTATCTCATGGAAGAAAAAAATTAACAAAGAGTAGCGAGGAAGATTCGCAGAAAGGAGCAGTCGTTGATGTAAATGTACCGTCGAGCAATTCTAGACAGAGGTGGTGTGCTACCATAATCTTTCGACATGCGTGTCTAACTGTTCCTCTTATCCTTGACGGCGCTCATCAATAGACACGAGAAAATCATTGCGAAGAGCTATAAAAATACTATTTTTTGTTTTTTATTATAATGACAAATGAGATGACTTTTACCCTACCTCAACGAGTAGGATTATGGCAGCAACAACAATCACATAAATGAGATTACTTTCGAGCATTTGCCATATATAAGTCGCACAGCCAATCTATATAAATATTCATTGCATGAGATAGCAAAGGATTTGAATCAATGGTACCTGTGCTGAATTGCTGTAACATTGACAGGAATTGGGATATGCACCGAATTGTACGTAATCAGAGCATCCGCTAGCACCACAGCAGTGTAACTGAAAATGGTAACCTTGCTGAATTTAGTATCGAATGAAGACTCAGGATCCATTACTAAAGTACTACAACCACAAGGTCGTATCTTGGGAAAGAATGCATTTCATACGTTTCATGCAGCTTTTTCAGTTTTAGCATCGCGTACCGAGTCATTTGAGGCCACTTAACCGTCTATTTGATTGCAATTTAGTTCCGTTTCCTCCAAGCTAGAACATATCTTTCCAGTCAAAGCCGCTTAAATGACCATTATTAAAGATTGGTAGAATGCAGGTTTACAACCAAAATGTCAGTTGCGTTTTAGAGTATAACGAAATTTTTTTTGCGTATTTCGAATAAAATTCAACAAATTTTTGAATCTGTAACGTGATTGCTGATTTTTTTTCGAAAATAAAAAACTGTTTGCGCTCTAGATAGGTCCATTGCAGTTCTTATTGGTCCTACAGTTAGACCAGAGCTTCCCCAGACGGAACATAACTTTGGTAATTTTGAGTTTGTTCTAATGATATTGAAATGGTGCTGGTTAGCCCCAAAATATTTGTGAAATATCCTTACATGAGCAACCCATACAATACTGTGGCAGGCTTTGATTTTGCTAAAAAATTGTAAAAAACATCTTTTTACAAGAAACTCTCCTTGTCTTTCTATTTCCTTCGCAGAAATTGTTTCCCAAGGCTAGGCATCGAAAAATGCGGTTGATTCTTTGTGCAAGCAATCTTTTCGCTATATATGAACCCTAAACTTGAATCTAGAGCTTAGAAAAGTGAATTTATATTGCGCAGACTTTCCTTCCAAGTCAATATTTAATCCCAGGTTTTTAATTGCGAGCAATTTTGAAAACAGGTGTAGTTTGATTTTGTTGAGCTAAAAAATGATTTGTTAAAGGTCGGGGCTTTTGAAAAAGAGTGTGTAAGAGTAGGTAAGATTCAAAATTCTTTTAGAATTCATTTTTGAAAAGCTTCCCACTTCTCCACTCTCAAAATATCTGCTCATGTAAAAACCGAAATCTTGATGACAAAAATTGTGACAAAGGTATCCACCGTTCATTACCTCTTTTGGTGAATGTTTCGCTCATCATTGCTTTGCCAGAGTATACTATGTTGCAACTTCATTGCTTGAATCTTGTAAAGAAAGTAATCATCTCAAAAATGTACTCTCCAAAGTAAAATCTACCGCGACCTTTTTCCCCTCAAATGAAATTTTCTGCGAGTTTTTCTTCTCCATTGGCCAAGAATGTCAGTTCAAATATCGATAATTCTTTGCACTTCCATTAGTATTTCAAAAACACAACTTGCAATTTATTGCAGCTTATGTTTTTTCGTGCTATAGTTCTCATTGTCTGAATTGATTGAGATTCTTCCCACGTGTAAAGAAATGAGCCATCGCATTTGTGCACGTTACCATAGCTCCGCCAATTTAGCGAAGCATTACTGCTTCACATCGAATAAAACGTTTCGATTTGTTCTTGAAAAGTATGAAAGTGCAAAAGTTGTAGTGATTAATTAGTTTCTAAAAAAAGTAAAGGAGTAGTAAACTGCATGCACTAGCAAAAGGTATTTTTTTAAAAAGGGCATTTCAGACTGAGGTTTCAACCTGATACGCCCTGTCTGGCAAGGTTCGAACACTTCAAATCTATTTTTGATATCTTTTAGAAACCCCCCCCCCCTGGAGGAGTCACGGTTATTTACTTGTTTTGTGTCCTCCATAATCTTCTCTAGAAGGAGCAGTAGGTAACATTGGAGAGATCAGCTTGCAAAACTTTAGAAATGGTACATATCTTTTATCAAAAAAAGTGCGATGACATCCTATTTTAGTCAAAAAATTTGGTACTAGAGCCTGAGCACGCACTTTTGTCTGTGTAGACTTTCTTATAAATATGTAATACTCGCAAGTTTACAAATTGGTTTTATGGTAGAGACAATCGGATGTTTTGCAGGAAATACGTAGTATGTCTGTTCTCTCATTCTGAGTACTTCCTGTATGTAATCTTCGACAAAACCGATAAGACTTAGTACTAATGAGCTGATAAGCGCCATTATTAGACAGTGATTGCAGAATATGATTCACAATCAGGTGAAATTGTGTGAGTCAAGCTTGTTTTTGATGGTAAAAAAAATCATATTGCGTGGGAGATTCTCTTTTGAAAAGAAAACCCCGACGAAAATGGAATGCTCAGAACAGTCGAAGCTTTCATTTTCTATCGAGCGAAAATAGTTTTATTTTTTGCAGTATTTGTATGTCCCATTATGGAACACAAAAAGTGGTCGATATGAGTTATAAATTTGTGCAAATTAATTCACTTGCAACAATTACATTTCTAAATTCTATTGAATTGAACAGATCAACTACAATTTTTTAAGAACTGAGGCTGCTGCCAGCAACACCTCTCTACGTTTCAGGATTGTAAGCTCGCTAGAAAGTGAAAAGCATCCCTAACCAATTTTGGAGGGCAGCAACACGCCTCATAAATTATTTTCTGATCCCCTCCCCCCCCCCTTCCCTCCCCTGCACACCTCCATTGTCAATTTATAGTTGTTTTTTTTTCAATGAAAGCAGGTTCATCTAATACATAGTAATAATCGCAGCCCGCTTTAACCCCAGTAAACCGCGTGAAACAACCTACTTACCTGATTTTGGATGCTGTCTAATGCATCTCGGATCGTTTGTGACGTTTGATATTTGTTCACCAACTCATTACGCCAAAAAGTGACCAAGTTGTCACGTATCTAAAAAAATCCATTTCGTAGATCACTCAAATCTGCTTCTAAATTTATAAAGCGAACTTACCGAGTTTTTATTGACAAAGTAGAGAACAATTCCAACAATTTCGGCGATAAACAAGACTAATACGAAGAAGAAATACTGGAAAAATATTGAATTATCAAAAGAAAATCAGATTCGAGGCTGTTAGATCAATAAATCAATTATCGATTTTTCGCATGATCAAAGGTGACGTCAAAGTAAGGCGAGGGTCTTCCGCTCTCTTCTTTCTTTTCGATGCTCAGTATTCACTGTCATTTGGTTTTTCATTTCAAAACATTCATGACCAGACATTTTTTTGATTGCTGCCATTTCGCACTAGAGAGCATTTTGCAGTGTCAGTTTACGATTTGCCGGTGGTAAAACTTATATCAGAAATATGCCTGGGGAAGTAGTCGCTGATCATGAGGATAATATTCACCTCCAATCATCCCGTTAGTTTACGGTAAATATTCTTTACGAGGCCACATTATGTCAAAGGAGAATTCGTATTGGGTTGTTTATTTGTTAACGAGTATAAGATTTCTTTTGTTCATTATGGTCTTACGGTGAAACTACGATAGCAGCATATTGGGGTTTTTCGCAAAAATTAAACGCCAAACACATTTATGAGTAAGGTCAAAGACTCTCGGGATGAAGCAAAACAAAAAACTCAGATTGGTTTGTAGATATCTCCCCTGTATGTTTTCCTTCCCAGGAAAAATTGCTCATGTTGAAGAAAATCTCCAGGAAATTAATTGAAGAAATTCTCTGGAAACTACAAGCTAGTTTTTGTCGGGAGACGGTCAAGAGGCGCGATTTCTCTGGGTGTCACCAACTCAAAACTCAAGTTTAGGGCTACGCAAGTCTTCAAAAAGCACCAGACAAAGTACATTGGTTTACTAGTCATCTAAAGTTACTACCTGCTGAGTTTGGAGGCTTTTGCTGGAAATCCGACCAAAATAAATACAAATTTGTTATTAATTGCATTTTCATGAGTTTTTGACCTTCAAAATTTTCATTTTGAATCGCTTTTGAAATAGTAAGACTGGAAAACTCGTGCAACCATCTAATATATCTCTCCTAAACTCTAAAATTCCCAGAGCCTTATAAAACATGAAATATGTGCTATTTGCTTCCAGCTGGCAACAAAAATCGCGCCTCTTGACATACACCCGTTTTTGTCCACCGTTTTTGCTTGCCACTGTAGCTACCGTGACTGTATAGTATCCTGATCTCGAATAATGCTGAAGCCCCTCCTAGATGATTCCAAATAGCTGCCAAGATCCCATGAAGTTTTATCGTAGAGTGGCAGTGTCCCAAAACTCTAGGATCGAAAGGAAACGGGAGAGGAAACGACCCAGCGGTGGGTCAATTTGACCTATCAGTGAATAGTTTCGCTTAACTGTGAGATTTCTGTATTCCGTCTCATTCCAAAATGTTTTTTCTGCTCATTTTCTTTATGTAATACGTGAATGCTATCCTAAACCTTGAACATCTTCTCAAAATTTTGCCTCCCTCCAATATTGAATTGAAATAAATTTCGATTCAAAGCAAGGGTTTTGTGTCATATTATTTTATAACCCATTACAAAACAGGAGTAGGTTTGCGGTCCGTACTCCATCGAATCCCACTAATATCTTATTCATATGCTAACATTTTTAACGAAACCTTTTTTTTTCGTGTGCACTCTGCAAAAATGATGCATTTTATTTTAAGCTGTACATGGCATTCAGAACTTTCTTTAGCAATTCTAAGCAATGCAGCAAGATGCGTGTCTGTTAAATTGCATGGTTATGTGAATACATTATCAGAGTGAAGTACTATAAGTTTATGAGTGCTATAACTTCTTTCGTTCAAAATGATTAGTTTTGTGAAAAAGCATACTAAATTTTCGCTAACCATGCCTCTTTTTGAATACATTTTCACTTATCCGCAAATGTGGGAAATTTCTGCGACCTTATGACTTTGGATACGGTGGTCGCAAAAACAGCGAAATTCTGATCAGATTTTTTACCAGTTGTCATAGAGAAGCATGAAAAGTGAAGTGGAGCTTTAATTTCCTACTACTGACTAGGAAGAAACCGGGAAAATTTGGACTCGGAAAGAGCACCAATTTCTAGTAAGAATCCTCTCTATTTAAAAAAAGGTTTGAGCTATAAAAAGTAACCGTAATGACTTGGTGCACCTGGCAACCGTAGTAATCGTGGGTAAAATCACACTAAACTTACCAATCCAAGAGAAACAATCACTTCGCAGGCGCTACCGCAACATCCAAGAAAACCCAGAATCAATAACACTGCACCGAAACCAATGACAACATACAGTAACCAGTAGTACTAAAAAAGAATCAAGGAATTTTTTTTTCCAAAAAAACGGACTAAAAAAGCATTACTCACACTTTCTAACGGCAAACTGTTAGTATCAAGTTTGATTGTGCTGATTACTCTTGATAAGATTGAATTATCAAATCGTAACCATAATGCGAGTCCAACAATAGCTGCTCCTAATACCTGGAATAGAAACGATGCAATTTTTTTTGATGAATGGTGATTGCATATTTTTTGTTCTCACTTTTGACGGCACTTACGAATCGTTTTCCTACCCTCAAAAAGTTTGGCCTCTTCTTTTTTACTCAGAAAAGTTAATTTTAAGGTCCAGACAATGAACACGCAATTTCATTCATCACGATAACTTTCTACAATTTCCTTTACTTTCTTTCTTGCTGAGTGCAAAAGGCGGACACAGGACATAACGTTGAGTTCATTAGCCCTAATAATGAATAGATTTCAGCACTGGCAAATAATGAAGGACTAAAGAACTTTGAGTCCTTATGTTCTTTTGAAAAGAAAATCTGCGAAGCTTGCTAAAGATGCGACGCTTGAAAGAAAAGGATATCGAAAATAACTCAGCGATAAAGGTTGAATATTCAAAATATTTCGAGTAGATTTTCTCCGTACAAAAATAGATCTTTTGAAATTTTTAGTCTCGATTCGATATATTTGCTAGCTTACTAAGCAACTCTGGAACATCGCAGAGGTGAAATTATACAAAACATAACGAGACCTTATCGAGCAATATGCATTTTGGAAAGACATTGTTGAGTAAAACTTACAAAAAATAGAAAGTTTATAATCCAGAATATATATTTGACACATTTATTCCCGCATCCCGCGACCATTGTCAATCTGTAACGAGTAAAGTATGTTATAGAGAAATCAGAGCATATTTAAGTGTACGAAAAGAGCGAATAATATTTAGTACACTATCTTTCAAGCCAAGGGAAATTTTTAGTCCAACACTGGTTGAAAGTAGATATTATCAACAAATAGGGGCACTTGAGTGCTAAATGTTCTTAAATATTTCGGTGAGAGCTGGTGTACAGTCGAGTTGCTGTCTTTGTTAATGTGTGCAGTTGCACATTTTCTAGGATACCGAGAATGGGGCGCATATTTCAGGTTAGATGTGCATTTGACATCTAATTGCACGCGCATCCTCAAGCATTGTGCCTCAGCAACAATAAAAATTGAAAAAAACAAGGAAACAATATTCGGCTTTGGCGGCCGATGCCGTGGAAATTGTGCAATCGCACACATCAACAAAGTGAGCTACTCGACTGTACATTGCTTTGTTAAATAAATGAGTGATGATGATAGCTTGATCGTCGCCCTCTGTGTGTAAATGTTGTACCGGTTACCTAGTAAACGCTACATACACACGCCTTCTGCTTCTAACAATACCGTGTCTATGGGAACGCGATTGCGAACTGCGACGACGAGATGACAGCGGCACCGCCGCGGCGCCGAAGCCTTCCGTGTCGGGTGAGGTGCTGTTGATTAGCAACTCGCTCGCTATCACATGACGGGTAATTTCTGCGCTGACGGGGCTGAACCAATGAATACACAGAATACCTATTTGAGTCATATTGCTGTGCATGCAAATGTCTTTGATGTCTAGAGCATGGCAACGAAAGCTAGACGTCTTCAGCGACGCAGAGAACTGTGCCGGCGCGTAATCAGCGGCGCTGACATCGGCGGGCGGAAGTGTTTTGCAGAGTCTATCGCTATTTCGATATGACGCATAATTGCGGAACGAGGTAATGAGAGCTCAGAGGAATTGAATTATGCTCAACAGCAAAAAAAAAAATTCATATCCCGGTTTCATTACCTAACTCAAAAATCACCGATACTAGCTGAAAACTCTTCTGTAATGTCTGCGACCGCACACCATATGCATCTGTAAAGTGGAGAAATGACGGATATTTATCCATGCAGATAATGTTGTTTTATCCTCATTTGGTAATGCGTAAGTAAAGTGCTGTTCATGGTATGCACTTGATAATCTTGGTGCGTAAGCACGCATATCAATGACATTCAAAAAAGTTGGTAGATGCATATTGTAAATCCACTAATTGTGCAATTGCACACATTACCGATTTCTACTTGTTTATGAGCGTTGCGGAATTGGTGGATAGATAGAAGCTGCGTGAACCTGAGCTTCTGCGAGTCTGTTTCTAATGGTGAAACCCTAGTTCCAAAAAGTGAAAACTTCTCCGTGCTAAAAAAACGAATTTTCGTTCCAAAGCAAATCGAAAGCGTAAAATGGAACATATCTGGAAAGGTGGAATGGACTATGGCCTTTGCCTCATCTCATTGAAACGCAACACTCGTCATTAGTGGGAAAAAGCTTTTGAAGTTTGTTGACACTTGGTAATGTTTCTTTTTCTAAAAAGATTGCTAGCGTTTTAGTACGAGATGTCAGTGATAGAAATGCGTTTTATGACTAGCATTACTCAGATTTCAATAAAAATGTCGTAACCAGTAAAATTTATAACACTTCAGTGGGAACGTATAGGAGGCAATGCAATTTATTTATGCAATTTCAATGCATAGGAATATAAAGTAAAAAATGACAAAATTTCCGCATTAGTCATTCTTCAGAATAGTATAGTGAGACTTCCTGATATGATCTGAAGATTTTCAAACACTCTTTTCACGACTGATATTGTAAAATAAGGTTTGTAGAATAAAATTTTGCTGGAAACAATTGACTGCATTGGCCATGAAATTGCAAAGGCTAAGAAATATGATACAGAAACATAATTGACGGCTGTTTCAGGAAATGAAAGCATAAACGTAAAAGCAGTCGATTTTCGGAATAGCAAACACAGAAACCACTGTGCCGATTCAGGTGGGTGGCTTTGAAACTGTTTAAAGTTGAGAACTTTGAGGAATTACTTGGTACTTGGATTGCTTCATAGTACATGAGCTACTACCAGGATAGTTCAAAAATTTCACAAAAATGCACCCTGAGGACGTTATGTGCTATTGACAGCGCACTAAAAGTTCTCAAATAGGGATATCATCTGACCTTAGGGTAAAAGTACTATTTTGATTCATTTTAAAGCCATGAACATCATTAAGACTATTGATCTGAATTTTGTTGTAGAAAAAGTCGATACCCTTTGTACCGTACGAGAGATAACAAGAATTGAGGAGCGCCTAGAAGAGTACCATTCACACTCTTCCCCCCCCCCTCCCTCCTTCCCCTTCCCCGTCTCTTATTTTGCAATAAGCACGAGTTCGAAGATTAGCACTTGTAGAGTAATTGCACGTCTAGTAGAAGTCGAAGCAAAAACACTTATTCTCTAGTTGAAAACTAGAAGCGATCGCATCAGAAAATTTTTTTGCCAAGATTACGGTATTTTGGTTCAGACGGATTTTTTCATTTATTGGGTTTTTATGCTAAATTTGCCATAGCAAGGCTTCTTATGACAAGGGTAAAAGTCTGAACTCTTTCTGTGTAGAATACCAGCTTATATGATAGCTCCTATAAAATGATAGTGTTGAACAGATGCTAAAGGCCTAGAAATTATGTCTTTGTTTTGTAGTGGGGGCTGAGTCATGAAAAGAAAAGCTGTTCCAGTACTGGTGGGCGAATGGCACGGAGTGATCATGATAACGTTCGACGCTTTATGGCCGCTTTGAAAAAGGCGAGACAAGGATTATCTGTGCTGTATGCAGTTTGGAACGTCTAAGGTTCGAGTTTTTATCAATCACCTGAACAAGGGGTTCCATAGAGTTGACAAAATAGAACTTATGAATTAGTAATTTTTCTGAGCACTTGGTGTGCGCGATTTGGAAAATAATCAGGCTTTTTTTCTAACTCTTCATACAAGGTTCATATTATTGATATATTGTAGACTAAGGCACAAATGCTTCACTGCGCAAGGATTTGAGAGAACAATTAGGTAGTGATATGAATCTTTGCACTTTCAAGATGTTCAGATATGTTTCGACTTCCAAAAATGTTCTGATTTCTGGGTTTACTGTCGTCGTTACAATTAACGTCTTATTCTTAGAAATGGTGGGCTAAAGCACTGCAGTACAATAAAGCGCGCAGGACTTCAAAATGTCTACTTAAAATAGAAGAAGTTAAGTCAGTACTATGCCAGAAACCAAAGTCTATTCGCAAATCCGCGAAATTTCTGTTGAAGAAAATTATCGCTCTGCGCTCTTTTATCTCGATAACTTTCATTGCATCGCGAGAGAGTAATCAAAAATATTCTTAATTTTCAGGTATATTCTTTTCGCTGACTGTCAGCAGTTCAGGGCCATCTTGTTACCTTCTGTAAATTATGTAATTTTGGCACGATATAACTGTCTCGATTCTTGTCTAAAGTTTTGGGAGATATATGTATGCAGGTATGAAAGTCGTGCAGCTTAGTAGAGAATAATTGGAAAAAGGTAAGATTCTGTAACTTCTATATATAGAAGTAACCTCTCAAATTTACAACCAATAATCATGATGGAAAGTTCGTAACCAATTTTTTTAAGGAAATTCGCTAGCGATGTTGCACGAACTTCACGTGCACATCGTAATGATGTACATTTGCACTTGTTCCTTGAAATCCCCTTTCGAAGAATACGTGATGAAGATGTGAACTAGTACGAAGTAGATAACAGCTGTGAGAGGAAATTTGAAAAAGGACACGCTTAGTAGTATGCGTGCTGTGGATGCTCGATGTGTACTATAACATTTCAAATGTGCGTTAGTAGATGCGATAACTTACATGAGGATATACTCAGTAGTTAAGTAGGTAGTAAATTTGAGTGTCATCAGGTGAAAAAAATCGTCGAGTGAGACTAGTCGTTCTCAAGTAGGTGTCCTTACAAGGAAAGGATACTTGGTCGAAGTGGCGTTTCTATATGAAATGTACACTATCTTATAGAGCATGAAACGCTGATTCTAAATCTGTCTTCTTCATCTGCAAAGCGCTTCTGGGAGGGGAGTCATGAGAGTTTTTGAATCAATAAATTTGAACGCACAACTACAATAAAATTATCCCAAATTATAGATTTTGACTTCAAATGGGGCCATGATTACTGCCACGACGCTTAATGCACTCAGTAACTTTAGTCTAATAAGGTTATCCAGTTATTAGCTCCAAGCGCAAAGAATTTCGACACCTGTTTTTGCTTTGAACCATTGAATTTTTGCCTCAAAAAATTTCCATAAACCCCCTCCCAGAAGTGTTTTGCAAATACCGAATACTGATTTGGAATTAGCAGTCCAGGATCTATAAGTTGGTGTACATTCCATATGGAAACTCCACTTCGCAAGTATCTTTCCCTTGTTAGAGCTTTGCACTTTTTATGTGAGAATTAAACAAGTAAGCTGAATGCTTTTGGAACGTCTCCTACGAAGATTCTATACATTCTGCAGTTGCAAAGTGAAAAAAGCGAGGCTTTGTAGATGTTGGTGAGAAACCTTAGCGGGAATTCAAGCAGACTCGAATAGATGCAGCAGTAATGAGAATGCGAATGTCACGCGCGCTTCTATGGGCGTGCATTGGCAAGAACTGAGAACATCAACACATGAACTTATTAATACTCGTATCCAAGCATTGCTAGTTATGTAAGAGGTTATAAAGAGATCTAGAACGCATATACACATAGTACAATTGTTCTTGTATTGTGGAGAATTGCGAGTGCTGCATTGGAAAATGGACATATCATGGTCAGGAAATTAAAAGAAAGCGAATGAAGCATTGCTGGATAATCGCGTGCTTGTCTAACACTCAAATCTAGAAAGGTTCAGTATTAAGCTTGCTAATTTACAGATGAGGGATAGAAATGTAGAATTCTTGCAAAAAGCTTTTTGATCTGGAATGGTTTGTTAATGAAATTT